TAATATAAAACAAGCCGGAATAACGAATAATAATTGGCGGTTTAATATAATTGAAATTACATTGAATCCAATTTTTTTTTAAAACTAAGCAATAAAATACAATACTCTGAATATATGTGAGGCGCTATCGCTTCTTGAGGGAGTTACATTAATTATGAGAAGATTAAGGCTTCCAGAACTTGATTCAAATTCCAGACAAATAACTTTTAAAACTAAAATAAAGGCAAGAAACAGTAGCCCTGCACTAATGGACAAAACGTTAAAAACACCTACAATTTCCATCACTTGAGAGGAACAATTAGTGATTTTCTTGGAGTGGGCCCTCCTAATCATAATAACATGGCTCGCAGCTCCATTTGATGGGCACCCTCAGTGATCTTACATTCCATGACCTTTTTGTACACCTGCCCTGAAGCCAGAACGGAAACATTTTGTTGCTACCGACAACTTCGCTTTTGGCTCAGATGAAGTTTCTTCTTCAGCCTCCCGCTCATCTTTTTTAAGTATTCTTTCTCTCTTTCTGAGAGCTTTGACCTCTTCTTCTTCTTCATAGTCCGCTTTTACCTCAACTGAAGACTATTGTATTTATATCAAAATATATATGCGCAATTAATCAAAATGACAATAAGAGAGAATATTGAGAACTAAAATATATTAATAATAATTTTTTTTCATAAAAACTTTTTTAATTAATAACTTGATACTTTTTTAATTAATAACTTTGGAGTAACTTGGGTCTCAGAGAACATTATTTCCTTGTTTTAATTTTTTGATTTTCTTTGCGAAATTATTTAACTTTAAAATAGTTTTTTTTAATATTTTTTTTTTAAATCTTATTATCTTAAGGTCTTTCCGCGGAACAATCATAAGCCACATTTTCAATATTTGCATATTTGTATGAAATATCATCAACGACACTTTTGGAGCGTTAAATTTTTGTTGTTGTCTTTGAGAAAAAATTGCATAATAATTTTGTGTTAAAGTTATGTGTTGTTAGTCCTTTTGTTTTTATGAATAAGCTACAGTAACACCCATTTCATTCTTAACAAAAAATGTTTATTAAGAAAGTTAAGCTTAATGTTTAAACAATAATACTCATGAGATATTTAAAATTCTTAAATATTTAGTTCTTTTTTATTTATTTCGACATAAAACTCTTTGAATGATATCTCCTCCCATTAAAAACAAACAAGATTTCAACTGCGTGACATGTTGTGAAATATTTCAGCGAAAAATTCAACACAAGACCCATTTTACCTCCAAAGCTATACTATAGTTGAGATATATTTTTTAAAAAAAATAGTAAGCTACCTGCAGAACACTGCCTAGAAAAATCTAAAAATAAGTTACTCTTCATCTTATAAAAATTTATGATGCTTTTTTATTGACTATTTATCTACATTAGAAAAAAAATTTCAACTGCTCTACAAATAATAATATATATTATAGCGGAAAATAATCGCCTGCATGATAACACTAAGCATTTGACTTTCAACACCATACTGAATGTTTAGATGTTTATTTTTCTTTCAAAAAAAGAGTTGTATGCTATCTGAGGAGCACTGCTTAGAAATCTCTAAACATATATTATTCTTCATCTTATACCACTTTATTAAACTTTTTTTAATGAATATCTCAGTACATTAGAAATAATCTTTCAACTGTTCAACAAATTATGAAATATTACAGCTGAAAATAATCCCCCACATCATAACACTAAGCAGCTTTTTCCTTTCAACTTGCAAAATGTTTGGATGTTTTTTTTTTCTTTAAAAATAATAGTTATGAGCTAACTGAAGAACACTGCTTAGAAATCTCTAAAAATATGCAGTCAAACTCCGCTATAATGAACCTTCAAGGGACCGAAATTTCAGTTCACTGTAACCGGGAGTTCACTATATCCATACTGCCAGCAATTTTAACTAATTTTTCCGAACTGTTCCCTTTTATTACGCATCATTTAAATAAATGATCAATAAAAAGAAATAAAAAAATGATTAAAAAACAATATGTAGTAACAGAAAATGTGCTAACTTTTATTTTTTATTACTCTTCGTCTGGAGTACAAAAAAATTTAGGGATGCCCTTTATTTAGAGTAGGGAAACTGAGATGGAAGATGCAAATAAGAGAAAATGCCTATGGCTGCATTCCACTCAATATATGGTTTTAAAAATCGGTGTATGCATTTTATGAGGAAATTTCGAAATTACCAAAAAATAAAGGAAAAAAAATCAGTCGAAGACAGAAAAAAGTTCACAATATCCAATTTCTTCTCTTCTTTTGGTTCACTATATCAACAAAAAATTACATTATATGTGTATAGCAAGGCACGGGAGCGAACATTTTGTTCACTATATCCAGGAGTTCACTATAAGCTATGTTCACTATAGCGGGGTTTGACTGTATTACTCTTCATCCTACACCACTTTAAGATACTTTTCTTATTGAGTGTCTCCAAACAATAGAAATATATCAACTGCTTGACAAATTATGAAATATTACTGCCGACAAAGTAATCACCCGCATGACAACACAAGGTAGATTAAAAGCCTGTTTTACTTTCATCAAGAAAACCTTAATTAAATCATTTAACGAAATACATTGCTTTGCTACCTAAACAGGCATTAATAAACATGAATGAGGTCATTCTTGGACATTGTTTACAGTGAAGGTAATTTGAATCTTCATGTAAGAAAGATACAGGTGATCTAAATATGTCACAGCAAGTCACGTAGAAAATTAATGCTATCATCGAACATTGAGCAGGAAAAACACAATATAAATGTATTAAAAGTGTGAGCAATTCCGAACGACATTTTGTTGCAACGCCTTGGTTCCGCCTCATCACGAATATGACCTCAAGTTTAGTCGAAAGATATTTGGGATATCAAGTCAATAATGGTACAGAGTAATACAATATTGCAAGGAAAAATATTCTGTTATAAATTAAGAAATATCGGTAATAAATAGGTGGTGCATCTTTTTAATTTGTTTTCTTTTGAAAAGACGTAAAATCGTTAGTATGTGAAATGTTGAAATGGCTAAAAGAGAAAATAACGGCTGAAGTATACAAGAACTTAACCGAAACGTTATCCCGGTAAAAAAAAATTGTAGATGGAACGACTTTCCGGTTTTAAATGGAAGAACAATAAAATTAAATTTTAATACCATGATAAACTCACTGAGAAGAAAAAAAAGTATGGTCAAAACTACCAGACTACAGTAAAATTTTTCTACCACTATGGGAACGCGAAAAAGCTCGATAATTTTTACCGATGCCCTTTAGTAATGATTTTAGCAAAATTAACTATAAAATATGGTTTTATAATATGTGATAAAATTTGGTAAATGCATAATTTCGTAATTTTATCATGATACCTTAGAACATGGCATAAAAACCATTTATTCGGTTAAATTTACTTTTAAGTTTTGTAATTTTTACTAAATTTGTGATAATAAGAATTATAATTTTAAAAAACAAAATTTCTGGTAATGAACCATATGAACGAAAAAATTACCAAAAGAATTGTTTAAATACCGTTTATTGCGGTTTTATTAACCAGGATTTTTTTTCCAACAAATAGGTCATTACTATATAGTGCGGTTAATGTTACCAATTTTTTTCCCCCGTGCGCTAATAAATGGTTAACTAGTGTTTTCCAATTATGGAAGATTTGCTGTTTCAATTTTTTTTTCTAAAAGCAACAATGGAAAAAAATATGATTCAAAAAAGAATAAACTATCGATAATTTGAATAATTAAATGAATTTTTTTTCAATTTCACTACTCATAATTGCACATAATTCAAAAAAAAAAAAAAAAAAAAAAATTTTNAAAAAAAAAAAAAAAAAAAAAAAAAAAAAAAAAAAAAAAAAAAACTATTTTTGTTTAAACATATTAATAAGTAAATCATCAAAAATGAAGAAACAATAATGATAAGTTTTAACATTCAGCGTTTAAAATATTAATAAATTGTACAATGCATAGTTAACTGTAAATGTGTACCGTTTAAAACAGAGTTACGACTAAAATGTTTTTCCCCCAGCTTTTTTTTTTTTTTTTTACGCGTTTCGACAAGATATTATATTTCAACTAATTTTCCTGCGCTGAAATATAATATATAAGTTTGGACGCATACTCTAAATTTTATAGGACTCAAATACTTTCTCTCTTAGTTGACTGATCAAAGTGGTCACCCTCCCACTCACTGACCGCAGCCGGGGACGCTTGACTTCGGTGGTCTGTTAGGAACCAAGTTTTTTGATCAGCTCACTGTGAGACTTCAATACAAGGAGGATAGTTCCAGATATTAGAATCAAGACATTAAAATTGGAGATTCCAAAAATGCGTATAATTGTTGATGTGTAGAAATCACAGAGCGCCGTGTAGTCTCGATGATTTATTAAATTATGTATTTGCTTTGTGTTATTAAGAAAGAAAAAAATACTTTTCAAGAAAGAATTATAGAATACAGACAAATAAACAAAATGAACAAATTTAAAGGCCAATTAAATCTATAGAATAATTAAATTGCGATTTATTTTTTTTTACGAAAGAATGCGTAAGAACTTTATGATGTAGAGTTTTCCGTTTTGAAAGCACTGCTGTTATTGATAATTACACAAAGAACAGTAATAAACTTAATGGTACAGGTGATGATTATATGGGGAGAAACAGCCCATAGTAAAAAAACGATAATTCCCCAGTTAAAAAAAATTGCGTTAGAGGAAAGAAATCAAATAGAATATTTAGTGAAGAATTTGAATTGATTTTACTTAAGAAACTGACTGACGGAATTGACGGAAATACGCCATGGATTCCATGGAGTGATTGACTACAAATGGCATTATGTAATGTTTTGACCATACATCAAACAAACATAAATAAACTTATTTTTAAAAAAATATTGACAATTTTTTATTACTATACCTATTTTTTATTACTTTTATTACTATACTCTATTACTATTATTAATTAATTATATTTTTGAAGTACTTACATCCATTAGAAACTAAACTTTGGTCTTCATGGATGGCATCCAGTAACAGGGTAAATGTTTTCTAAAAATATAAAATGAAACATATTTAAAACATCATTTAAAAAACAAAAAATGAGAAATGCAAAATTACAAAAACATTTCATTTTAAATTTATTTCAACTTTTATTTAGGTACAAACTTATTACAGTATACAATGAATTGTTATTTACTTTACAGTTTCATTATTTTTTATAAATTTAATATGGCCTGTAAAATTTCCAGAGCCTTTAGGCTGGTGCAAACATATCAAATTGATCGGTAATAATGTGAATTTTAACGAGTACTAAAATGTGTTTAAGTTTTTACGGCATAATGCGCATACTGTACAGGGTATCCCAGGATTATTAGGACAAACTTTATGGGGAGGTAGAAGACGTCACAAGAATAGATTTGCATAGCAACCCACGACTGGAAATGTCTCTTCGCCGCTAGGTGGTGTTGTTAAAAAGATGGATGGGGCGTGGTCGATGAGTTTCTTGGCCATCACGCTCTCCTGACTTAAGGAGTATGTTTTTTTTCGGGGGGGGGGGCTGCATTGTAAAGTGCTGTGCACACAAAACCTGAGGATTCCGAAACAGATCTGGTTGCACAAGAATCGTCTGCTTTGCTCTAGATATCCAACAAAATACAGGTGTATTTGAGTGAGTTCGCCAATACATGGCCGGACTGTGTAAGGCATGCAACGTTGGCGATGGTAGAGACTTCGGAACATTTCACATATCATCTACCACATTCCTTTGGAACATTTTCACATATCATCTACCACAAAACGCATATATCTTTGATAAATAAGCATTTCAGATAATTTCTGTCTCGCGTCTCTTTGTTTCTTGTACCTGTCATTTTACTTGCCCATGATGTTTTTGACCATGGGTTGCTATGCGATTCTGAATCCTTGCGACGTCCCCTACCTCCTCTTAAAGTTTATCCCAACACCCCTGGGACATCCTATAGGTGCACTACATTATTATTTACATTACATTTATATTGTATCTATTGTCATATAGTTACTTTTACATTACCTACATTTCCCAGAAAGAATTGCGCGTTTATTGTCTCCGTTCTCTATAACAATGAGTATCATCAATAAAAATAGATTTTAGAGATTAAAAAATAAAAATAAAAACCATAATTAGAAGATTAAAAACTTGATAGTTGGTGTTGATTGTAAGATTTCAAACTAGGGAAACAAAACCAACAATTGCACAAAAATATTAATGAAATGCAAGTAACTAAGTGAGTATTCAATCAACTCAATTTCCAGTTTAAAAAAACCATGATAGTCAAACAAAGAATGATAAGAACTAGTAATCGAGAATTGTTTAAGATAATTGAGTCGTAGAAAAAGACTAAAACATATTTACATTATCAAACATCATTTAAATTCTCACCACTTTAGAAATGCGCTACTAAATTTAATAGCTTTACTCAAACACTGGTACTCCAAAAAACCAAACAGTTTTCTAAAACAAAGTAGCCTACACTTCGTCAAACAAAAGGTATACTTTGTTGAAAGTTCTCTACAAATGAATGTATTGCTATACTCTTAGCACTTAAGGGGTGATTGACTTGACGTGGGATTTACAAAAGAAAATTTGGCGTAGGAAGATTAAATCGATCAAACATAACTAACCCCCACGGTAGATATATATTTTGTAGAGATTTATATAGGTAATTTATTTAAGACATTTTTCTTACTGCTCATTTTCTGAAATCATCTGTTTGAATTTTACAAATCTTATAAGTAATTAAATGCTTTTAAGAAGAAAAAAATTGAAAAGCAATAAAAACGAGAAAAATTTTAAAATTAATATGAAATATGTGTTTTTTGATTCATAATAACATTTTTATTGTAATTATGTTTAGTAATAATAAGATTTATCAAATATATATTTATATCTAAAACGTTTATGCTGAATACAGTAACATTTTTAGTGTAATTATGTTTAAAGTTTAGAAGTAACAAGTTTTATCAAATATATTGATTATAAAATGCTTATGCTGCGAAGTCACTAAAGTTATAATTTTTTCTCTTGAATTGGTAACCAAAGACTAAAACAAATAAAGCTATTAGCTGGGCAGAAATGGAAGGTTAAAGTGAAATCAGAATTATATGTATGTTTTACTTTTTAAAGATCCTTTAATTCTGTCACTGCTGTATCTCAAAACTCATAAATTTACTGCATTGTCAATTTAAAGTTCAGTATAGTTTTCTTTACGCTATAAATATTGAATAACGTTTTGCAACGATTCAGATCTTAACAAATTTATTTCAAAAATTGTACCATCAATCAATGCAAAGCTAGAATAAAATACATAAATCTAATGAGTAAGTTAAACGTTAGAGCTATATCTCTATTGTATCTATGTAAAGAACTCCCCTCGTCATTCAACACCAACAGTGGCGGTTACTATGGGTACGAGATTTAACTACTTCAAGTCAAGGAACAATATTGACAGGTTTTGATTCGGATCGGTGAGTGAAAGGGAATAGGTTTTATTTGGTCCATAGCAAGGCTCTCCTCGGTGAAATGCGCTATTTCTTGTATGAGTGGCAGTAAACTGACTTAGACTTCATAGCGAGAGGAGTTCTTTACATAGACAGACTATATCCAAGGTATGAATACTACGCGATTTTGACCGTAGTTCGACAACGTGGGCAGAAATCAGCCTTGTCCACCTCTCTCCAAAATATCTCATCACGATCAACAATGGGACTTTGAGCCACTATGATGCAGCTATCACTTTAGCACGCAATTTTCTGAAACTACACGCTGGAAATCTCGTCGGCTGCCAGGATCGAACTTATAATCCGAAGCTCTTAACCAGAAGAGAGAATGATTCCTTTACCGTTTGTGCCATAGCGTTTAAGAAAAACAATCATTTAAGCTTATCACTCTAAGACTAAAATAAACCTTCAAACGAAAAAACAAAAGTAATAAGTTGTTGAAAATCAAAGTCAACTATATTGGGTAATATTTTTTCGAAAGTTGATTAGAAACTTATGATAAGAAAGAAACAGATATAATAGAAAGTGCTAAAAAAATAAAATAAAAACTAATTATAAAGACATTTTTGATTATTTATAATGATTTTAACTGACAAATTTAGTAAAAACAAACTTCATCGAAATGAATTTAAAATTTCATTGTCAATATTTATAAATAGTTTTTTTTATTTCATAAATGAACAATAGTTCATATCTTGTCTAAAGATCTGATGCTTATCAACACAATTATAATTTACATAATTTTAAGATGAAATTTTTTCTAATGAAACTGTCATGGCCATCTGTCAGAATTTCAGAATTGATCGAACACCGTCCTTGTATGTCATATTGTGAAGAAGAAATGTCAGATTAATCCTCAATTAAATGTAACTTGTTCATCTTTAATTCATAAACGTAAGATTAAGTCAGTTCATTATCAGTTTTGTCTGCTCAGCTTATTGTTAATTGTGGATGATTTTTTTTATAATGATTACCCAATTTATTTAGACTGTTTTTATCATTTCCTTTTGTTCATAAGTTTCAACTGTGATTAGCAGAGTAGTATGTTTGATAATATATATCTATATATATAGTTCGAAATGTAGAGAAAACAAGGGAAAAATTACAGAACTATGAAAAAGGGGGGAAAAATAATAATAAAAATAACAAGAAACCAGAAGGAAAAAAAATCCGAAAAAAAGGACAAACATTTTAAAAATCCAGAAAATAAAAGATATAATCTTTCCATCAGCACACACGATTATATCCACAAATAAGAGTGCCTTCTAATATTGTATCAATATAGCCAAAGCAATAAAAGTTATTGTTTTGGCTATATATATATATGTTATATATATATATATAAAGGTGATCTGCAAGTTCCTTGNTATATATATATATATACTACGTAGTTGCAGCAAATTTTCACGACATTCACGAGATACCGATATTGTGGTTCAATGTTTAACACAATTTGCACAATATTATGATTCATTGAGACGGAAATATGGTTAAACTTAACATTTTGTTAAAGTTATAGTAAATTTCCACGATATTAGAGATATCCATATTATGCTAACGTGGTTATAAAATGGTTAGTGATACCGACCTTCTGGTTTAAGATAACGACAATATGGTTCAACTCTTAACCTATTTTTCTGAAAGTTCTTGACTCTGGATTTTATCTACCCCACATTGTTTACTAATTTTCGCTCTCTTTTCTTTCTGTATTATTTTTAGTTACGATATTTCTTAGTTACCATTTAGTTACCATTTTTTAGTTACGATATTAAATAAATCTCGAAAAAAATAAGCAGATGCTGAAAATGATTGAAGCAAATTGATTGAATGCAATTAAAGTATTTAAAAAAAGAGGAATAAATAAAAATTGATTCATCTGTAGGAGTCGATAATGTTCCCCTATCATCTGAATTGCAAAATATGATGAGATAATTATATTTGCATGTCAGTTAAACATCGCATTCGAATTGATCGCAAACACACGATATGAATCTAAGATCCGGGATCACAACAGAAGTTACAGAGTGATCTTTTCATCAGTCAGTGTTTCCACCTGATGAAAAGATCACTTTGATAGGAATTTCGGAATTAAATTCCATTTAGCAGAAAAAGAATGACTCCATGTATTTTAATTAAATAATTTCTGTGGAAAGGGTAATAACTAAGGCTATTTTCCCAAAATGTTTAAATATAAGAGAATTTTTCATTTTTCATTTTCTACTCAAAACATAACCTGATATGTTTTACTTCAATTATTAGATCACCAGACTTCAATCGAACTTAAAATATTCTATCGAAAGATGAAGGGCTTTAAATATGTTGCTTCATAATATCGATTTGGTGAAGCATAAGATATTTTTAGAAAAAAACCACTTTATAAATTTAGAGTAAATTTGAGGGACTGGATTTCAAATTTGCATGATATCTTAATAATGTATTAAGTATCCTGATATGCTTTGCTTTCATTATTAGAATTATGGAATCAAATTTAAGATATTCTACTGATAAATAGA